GCAACAGTCATCCAAGCTGCATTCAACATTATGGCTTGGACTCCCACTGTTTTTCCCCAAATCCGTTGATAACAGCTCACCTCCCTGAGAATTTGTCAGGATTACCCTATACCAATGGACACCCAGCTTTCTTGTCCACTAATGCTGTTAGCTCTGAATATTGTTTGAAGACCAATCATTGCCAATTCTATATATGGCCCCTGGTCTAGAGACAGGGCTCTATCAGTGAATCTTGACCTTCCACCTAGTCAGCTCACAACCAAAGGCTCAAAGACAACTCACGGTGAGCTGTGAGCTCTGTTTTTATTACATCTCTTAACAGGAGAAGCTTGTCTTTCTCTTTTTTGGAGTAGGAGTCCATTTTACCTTTAGGACTCTCTCCTTTTTCTTTTCCTTATTGAGAGGTAATGACTAAAATCTTTTGTCCTTTGGTAATCGTTCCATAACTGTACCAGGTTGGCATTAGGTTGTTCACCTGTTTTCTTTTTACCCACTCCTGCTGCTATTAAGTTCAACCACACCTGTTTATGGGAATATCAAAGTGGTCCTTCTGGGTTTGGCTGAGTTTTACAGACTCCCCCCCCTTTTTTTTCCTGCAATCTGTCTCCCACTAGGTCTGCTATCAGTTGCACTGCTTGCTGGAGGCACTGACCTACTAATGGGGATAATAGTGACAGGGCAGCATGTTATACATGGCATCCCTCATTCCATCAGTGAAAGTCATACTGTCTAGTCCTGGGAAAGGTTGCACATAAATACAGTGTTTCATCCCCAGCTCCTGCAAATAGCTCTGTAGTTCTTCCACAGAGCCCCAGGGGCCTCTGGGTGTAGGAGTATCTCCTGAATATGGCCATATATTGCAGGTGACAAGAAGCAGTCATGTTAGTAATGGCCCCACACTTTCAAAAGTGGCATTGATCTGAAGCCATTTTAGAGAATTCTAAACCATTCAATGTTATCCCATCTGCTCCAGTGTCCTACAAGTAGAGCAGCCATGAAGCTGAGGATCAAACCCAGTGCCTAACACATGCTAGGCAAGTGCTCCACCGTTGAGCAACAGCCATAGGCCAGGCACACTTTCATCTTCTGCCTGAACTTGGATCCCAATTCCACCAGCTCCATGGTGAGAATCTGGTCTAAGGATGATATGTAAGTATCTCTGGACTGACGAGCAAATCTGCATCTGCCCCTTAAGGTAGCTCCGGCCAGGTCTTTAATTTTTGGACCATTGCTTGTCTAGCTTCTATTACATCTTCACCCTTCATCTCACTTTCTGAGTCACTGGAACTAGTGAACTCCCTGAGTGGACCTCATATTTGCAGGTCCCAGTTTTCACTAGTCACCATCTTCCTGGGCTTATGATGTCCCCTTAATTTAGAACAATAGCATGTCATGAGCTGACCTGCAGATGCTTCCCTGCAAGTTTTTTTTTTTTTTTGATACCAGAGATTGAACCTAGGGGTGTTTAATTGCTGAGCCACATCCACAGTGTCCCCCCACTTTTTTTTAATTGAGAGAGGGTATTGGGAAGTTGCTTAGGGCCTCTCTAAGTTGCTGAGGCTAGGCCTTGAATTTGCCATCCTCCTGCCTCAGCCTCCCATGTTTCTGGATTACAGCTGTGCACCACCACAACCAGTGCTTCTCAGCAAGTTTTAAGTGCTATGATAGCACATTCTTTTTTTTTTTTTTTAAAGAGTGAGAGAAAATGAGAGAGAGGGAGAGATAGAGAGAATTTTAACATTTATTTTTTAGTATTTGGCGGACACAACATCTTTGTATGTGGTGCTGAGGATCGAACCCGGGCCACACGCATGCCAGGCAAGCGCGCTACCGCTTGAGCCACATCCCCAGCCCGATAGCACATTCTTGTCACCCTGTGCTAAATGGGTCTCTTTCTGGTTTTAATTCTTCTGTACTCTATGGAGTTGAGCCTGAGTAGCTACTTCCTGGTCTGTGGCCAACTCTAATGGACACAGCAGGGGCCATGCCACTTATATCACAACATAACTTTCTTTCCTTTCACTCTCCTATTAGTACTTTGGATGTTATTTCTTTTCACTGACATTTTCAGTGTGCCCCTGTGCTCATGTGGTGGTCCCCATCCCTCCAGTAGCGATGCCACTTCCAACCACATCAAGGGTTGTGGCCAGTTCAGGATTTCCCCCATAGACCCCATGTCCTTTCCTAACTCTGGAATCAACTCAACATGTCCCCCTTTTTAGACTCTGCCAATTGTTTAGCCCCAAGGCAGTGAATCCCCCAGCTTACTATTTACTGATCCCAAAGAAAGACTCAACAGAGAGGGTTTGCACATTTTATTACTTACATACTCCTTGGTGATGGCAGGCCAGGATACAATGGAGGCTCTATGAGCAGGGCTGGTGAAGGGGAATATACAGGATATGTTGCATGCCCATTGTGTAGGTGAATTTTTCAGCTGTTTTATGAGTGCAGGCTTTTATTTTATCATCATTATTTTTGGGGGTACCAGGGATTGAACCCAGGGATGCTTAACCGCTAAGCCACATCTCAGGCCTTTTTATATTTTATTTAGAGTCAGGGTCTCAATAAGTTGCTTAGGGCCTCGCTAAATTGCTAAGGCTGGCTTTGAACTCATAATCCTCCTGCCTCAGACCCCTGAGCTGCTAGGATTACAGGCATGAGCACTGCACCCTGTGCATACTTTTATTTTACAACAAAGGTCACTCTGCTTTGATTCTCACCTAAAGTTTGGAGGTAAGTAAAGTGGACACTCCCCTCTCAATTTCCTTCATCATCACATTTTTTAATAGAGTCTTTCCTATCCCACTGCAAGCTTTCCTAGGCAGTGATTAGGATTATCAACAGACTAATAATATTTTGTTCAGCAGTGTGACTTCTAAAAGTAATGATTTTTAAAGTTTACTAAAAAGCTAATGAAGCACAACTCTAGAAAGCAGTATGGAGATTCCTCAGAAAACTTTGAATGGAAGCACCATTTGACCCAGTTATCCCACTCCTCCGCATATACCCAAAGGACTTGAAATCAGTATACTACAGTGACACAGCCAAATCAATGTTCATAATAGCTCAATTCACAATAGCTAAGCTATGGAGCCAACCTAGGTGCCCTTCAATAGATGAATGAATAAAGAAAATGTGGTTATATATACATAATGGAATATTACTCAGCCATAAAGAAGAATGAAATTATGGCATTTTAAATAGATGAAACTGGAGGCTATCGTGCTAAGTGAAATAAGCCAATCCCAAAAAACCAAAGGTCAAATATTCTCTCTGATATGCAAATGCTAACTCACAATGGTGGGGAGGGGAAGTTCACCAGATTGGACAGAGGGGGAATGGGGAAGGGAGGGAGGATGGGAAAGGAAAAGACAGTAGAATGAATTGGTCATAACTTTCCAACTTTTCTCTCTTCATATATGAATACACAATAGTGTAACTCCATATCATGTACAACCACAAGAAAAGGAAGCTATACTCCATGTATGTGTGATATGTCAAAATACAGTCTACTGCCATGTATAACTAAAAAGAATAAATAAAATACTTGGGGAAAAAATAAAGCTACAGGATTTTTTAGGTTTTTTCTTTGATTACAATTGCACACCAGCATGCTTAAGTAACTCAATATCCGTTGATTCCATTGATCTATGTTTTGTTCCCCCTCAGTATATGTGCATTTAAGGTTTTATCTGTTTTTGGTTTGTGTTGTTCTGGGATAGAATCCAGGGTCTCATGATTGCTAAGCAAGAGCTCTATCTCTGAGCTCCAACCTCAGCCCCAATTATTTGTTTATATTGGGGATTGAATCTAGGGGCACTGAGCTACATTCCTAGTCATTTTTAATTTGTGATCCTCCTGCCTCAGCCTACCAAGTTGCTGGGATTACAGGTGTGCACCACTGTGCCGGACCAGCCCTAAAATTTTAATTGCAATTGAAAGCTAGCATTTCTGTTGGATTCTGAAGACTTTTGAATTAGATCACTTAATTAGTATTTCTCAAAAAAAATGATCTCTGGAGTAATTGAATTAGAATCTCTGGGGGATATAACTGTAGGAAACTCATGTTTCTGATGTCATCTAAAGCTGGAATATCATTTTGGGGGGCAGTTAAAGGGCCAGAAAAGGGAAGACATAACATCAGTAGAATGAATTGATCCTGGCTCATTAAGGCTGATAACTGTGCTGGGTCTATGATAAGGCAGGGAGGGGGTGGACTGTCGCAGAAAGACGTAGGTTTGATTCACAGTGAAGAGGACTGACGTGGTCCTCATGGAGCTTTGCACACCAACCAGGCTCCCTCTTCCACTTCCAGTTAACTCTTTGATGGCTATCTTTTTCTCAGCTGGGCTTTCCCTGTCCATGCACCAACAATCCTTGCTTCATTTTTTTCACAGCAGCACCTTATCATCCTCTAATATAGCATTTTACTTATTGTCTTCCCACTACAAATACAGTTCCATGAACACTGAAAGACCATGTCAAAAGATACTCAATAATCTATAAATTGTATAATAATAATTCTACCTTTATGACTATTAAATGAACTTAAAGAGCTTGCAACAGTGTCTAGGCAAATGCTAATTACTATTCATCTAGGATCCTTCCGGGGAGAGAGTTAGAGAGTTCTTGAAGAATTTTTGGTAGATTTTTACTGTTGATCAGTCGTCTTTCCCGCACTTTTCTCCTCTCCTCGTGGGTCGCTGTTGTCAAGGAATTCGCGGCTCCTCAACAATCAAAACCAAGTCTGATTCTTCAGAGGGTTAACAGGACAAACAGGAGCAGACCAGCCCTAACTTTGGGAGCTTTCTTCCCTTCCTCTCTTCACTCCCCAAAGCCAGCTCTTCTCGCCATATTATTCTACCAACGACAGCGCCTAGGAAAGAAACGGGTGTGTGGCGGGTAAACGCTTCTTTCTCCGCGCAGGCGCGTTCCGTCGCAGGACCTCGACTATCGCGATAGAGGAGCGAGATCGACGCGGGCCCTTTAACAGCCCCTTCCCGGCGGCCTGCCCCGCGCGTGCGCCCTGCGGTTCTGCGCTTGTCATCATGGCGACGCGGGGCCATGTGCAGGACCCTAACGACAGGCGCCTCCGGCCCATTTACGGTGAGTGCCTGGGGCCAGCCTGGGCGCCAAACCAGCAAGCCGAGGGCGCCCGAGGGTGGGGGGAAGACTCAGGAGGGGCGCGGAGGGACCGCGCGGGGTGGACGGGCGCGGGGGGCGGCCGCGCGGGCCACTAGGCCGCAGCCGCGGGCCTCGCGTAGTCGCCGGCCCAGCCTTCCTAAGCCCTACGATAGAAGCGGCGTGCTCCGGGTAGCGGCTGGTCAGCAGAGCCGGTCTGACAGGCAGGCCCGGTAGGAAGAAACCTGCGTAGAGAACAGAGTTGCTCTCCGGCTGCGTTATTACGGTCTCTCGGAGAGTCTCCTTGCAAGTGGAAACCGGCTCCAGCATGTAGGTGGTAGAGCCCCACCCCCCCACCGGGGATAATACCCCTCCAGTTTGTTTGTTTATTTAATTTAAGGGAATTGGACCTACGGGGTTGTTGGACTAGGTGGGTTTCAGTGCACGTGGACAAAAACTGAGGGCCAGAGAAGGGCAGGGACTGAGGCAAGGTCACCCAGATCCAGGCCCAGGCCCAATATCCCAGACTCCCAGTCCAGAGCTGTTTGGTAGAGAAACAGCTGCTCTGGGCACACGTGGGAGGCGGGGGAAGGGGGTCTTGGGGCCTAAAATAGCAGCGAAGAGACAGCAATGGTTGGTGTCAGAGGGGCCCGCCGGGCTGCTGGCGTGCTTTTCCTTTCTGTATCTGCCTATGGTTTTCTCTGTATCTTGCCTTCCGCGTTTTATGTGATTCCGACTTCACAACGCTTACCTCAACCCGCAGGCTCTAAGGTAGACGTCGATGTCCTCTTACTACCCTGATATTGGAAAATCAAAGAATTGAGAAACAGTATTTGAGATGTTCTCTCATTGGACAGTTGTTCCTTTTGCATTTCCTTTCCTCTTAGATGTTGTATGGTCCTGGTCTATCTCAGTTAATGGTGAGGAAGCTTCAAGGTCAGTGGTTTTTGCGAAAGTAGTCTTCCTGGTTATAGTGGGATTTTTTATCAAATAGAGGTTTCTCTGCATGGCTTAGGTCATTTAGGTTTTTGTTTTTTTGGGGGGGGGCAGTTAACTATGTTTCTGGCACAATTGGTTCTGCTTTTATTGCATAATTTGTAAAATCACATCTCATCTGATTCTATCAACAACTACGCTGTGAGATGGGTAATTATTATAGCTAAAGTGTATACACCACTAATAATATCGGTCATTGTCCTTGATCTTTTATGTGGTATATCTCATTCTCTTTAAAAAAAATTGTTTTTTAAAAAACAGATGAGAAAACTGAAGCTTTCTTGATGTTGTGTAATTTGATATAGTCTCTCAGCTAGTATTTCTTGGAACTAGGATTTGAACGCCAGAAATTCCCTCATTCTGAATTGAAGACAGATTTGCCTAAGGTCACACAGGTGGGGAAAGGCTGGGATGCTTCTCTGATTTACATTTCCCCATTACAGCATATTCACACATGCTCTTACTCTTGTATTTTAGAGGGCAGAGCTGATACATACAGGGTGGGGTCATGATTTGACTCATTACATCTTTGTGAAACAGCTGCCTGCCAGTGTGTGTGTGTGTGTGTGTGTGTATGTGTGTGTGTATGTGTGTGTGTATGTACCCATGGGACCTTTGCTATTGAGCCACATCTGCAGCCCTTTTGTTTTTAATTTTGAGACAGGGTCTTGTTAAGTTGCTTAGGGCCTTGCTTAGTTGCAGAGGCTGGCTTTGAAGTTGTGATCCTCTTGCTTCAGCCTCCTCAGCTGCTGGGAATACAGGCATGTGCCACTACACCTGACTCCCCCGATCGTCAGTTTTTAAACTATAAAAACCTAATACTTGGTCTGGGGCTGTAGCTCAGTGGTAGACCTCTTGTCTAGCACATGTGAGGCACTGGATTCAATCCTCAGCACCACATAAAAGAGACTGAGGCAGGAGGATTCCAAAGTTTGTGTCCATCTACAATTAAAAAAAAACAATATTTTTCACAATAATTGGATTTTTAAAATTGTTCTTGAGGACAAAGAGAAGGACTTTGATCCCTTATTTATTTGGAATTAATAGCGTTTTTGAACTGTCCCATAAAACAAAACAAACAGACAAAAAAAAAAAAACCCACCAATTCATGTTGTTAAACACCAGGATATGCTAACCAGAAGTGACATGTCATATTCTCAAAACTGAAGTCAGAATTATATAGCTTTGTTATAGCTGAATGGAAAGAGGACTACAAGAGACTTTCTTTAGGAATTCTAAGGTGATTGATACAAATTGGCAGGTATAGGAAAAGAGAGAGTACAGCCTATCTTTTTTTTTAAATATATATTTTTAGTTGTCAGTAGACCTTTATTGTATTTATTTATATTCAGTGCTGAAAATCTAACCCAGAGTCTCACACATGCTAGGCAAGCACCACAACCCCAGTCCCTGTCCTTGTCTACAGTATTTTTACTTTTGAATTCCAGACTTTTGATTAAATACATTAATACTCCTAAACAACTGTTAATCCTTGAATTCACACATTGTAGAGGCTAGCCTTGAACTCATATCCTTCTTCAGTCTCTGGAGTTGCTGGAATTGCAGGTGTGCCCCATCACATCAGGCAGGACATGTTTTTTTGTTTTTTGTAATTTATAAAATTCATTGAAAAGTTTCTAAAAAAAAATAAAAGTATCTTACTAGCTGGTAGCCATTATCAGTCATTTTCAGTCATGGCTCTTTGAATTCCTTTTGTGGTTATTTTGTATCTTTGTTGCTGTCCCCTCAATACAGGATCAAACTCGGGGTCTCCAAAGCATGTGTTCTACCATTGTCAATTCTTATCTTATAAATGTATGCATTTCTCATTATCCTGATAGATTACCCAGTAGGTTTTTTTTTTTTTAAAGAAAGAGAGAGATTTAATTTTTTTTTTAAAGTTTTCGGTGGACACAACATCTTTTTTTAAAAAATATTTATTTATTTTAAGTTTTCGGCGGACACAATATCTTTGTTTGTATGTGGTGCTGAGGATTGAACCTGGGTCGCACGCATGCCTGGCCAGCACGCTACCGCTTGAGCCACATCCCCAGCCCCCTGGACACAAAATCTTTATTTTATTTTTATGAGGTGCTGAGGATCGAACCCAGGGCTCCGCGCATGCCAGGCGAGCGCGCTACCACTTGAGCTATATCCCCAGCCCAGGTTTTTTCTTTTTAGTAGTCTTGTTCATTTTTATATTTCTTCCTTTCTTCATTCACCATATTTACCAGGGACCTGGTATATGTTAGGCACAAGATGTGTAGGGAATGAATACCAATTAGTACAGAAATGGTTTTTGCTTTTAAGGATAGTCTCAACAAAATTTTTTAAATGACAGTATACAAAACCACTGCATTTGTGCTAAAGGCTTTGACATTTGTGCTGTCATAGCATACACCATGGGCTTCTGGGCTGTTGGGGGTAGGTCAAGGAAAAGTTCCTGTGGGGCTAGGGATATGGCTCAGTTGTTAGAGTGCTTGCCTCGAATGTACAAGGTCCTGGATTCAATCCCCAACACCACCAAAAAAAAAAAAAGAAGAAGAAGAAGAAAATGTCCCTGTGGAAGTCTTGTTTTACTTTGGATCTGAAAAAAGATCAAGGATTAGAAGAAATGGATGGGGCGGCCATGATGAAGACCCTGAGAAAGGGAATTTGATCCACTTGAGGACCAAAACAGAGGCTTATACAATTGGAATGTAGAGATGTATAAGAGGAAGTGACTTAGAGCAGCAAAGGTAGGCAGGAACTCAGCTTTGTAAGCCGATTTAAGTATGTTGAAATGTGTCAATTTGTGTTTGTGGTAAAAACAAAGCTCCTATTCTCCAACATTTAGGATTATTTGTTTTCGTGATGCTGAGGATTGAACCCAGGACCTCATGCATGCCAGGCAAGCACTCTACCAGTTCACATCCCAGCCCAACATTTAGGATTTTTAAGTAAAAGATGTTGTAATTTAAAGATGGAGCTATCTTGTGTTTATGTTTTGCTAAGTTGATGCATTTGCCTTAGTAGTCTCTGTAGCTTTTGTAGGATGCCAGAATAATGTAGATTATTTCAGGTGCTATGGTTCATGGCAGCCACCTGAACATACAATTTAAAACCTTTCCAGCTGTGCATAGTGGTGCATGGCTATAATCCTGGAGATTATAGCCATGGCTACTCTGGAGACTGAGGCAGGAGGATTCCAAAGTTTGAGACCAACCTGGGCAATCTATCAAGACTGCCAAATTAATAGGACTGAAGATGTAGCTCAGTTCTGGCATGGGGTTGGGACTTTCCTTTTTAATTTGCAAGACAATTAATACCTTTCCTATTCTCAATATCTGTAAGTGTTTAGAGAAATAAACCCAGGGCTTCTCCTGTAGGGCAAGTAGGCCTGCATGCTTCAGAGGAGCTTCTGTTAGGAAATGTTACCCCCATGAGTGCAGATTGTACAATCATTCAGCAAACTCTGATAATCTGTTGCCAGTGATTTAATTTGAAGTTTCCCAAATTTCTATGATTCCTTTACCTCAATATGAAGATTTAAAAAATTTTTTTTTCTTAGTTGTCAATGGACCTTTATTGTATTTATATGTGGTGCTAAGAATTGAATCCAGTACCTCACAGATGCTAGGCAAGCATTCTACCATTGTGCTATAACCCAGCCCTCATTATGAAGATTTTTAGCTATATTATAGTAAAAATTTTTAAAATTTTTTTTCTAGTTGTAAATGGACACAATATTTTATTTTATTTATTATTTTTTTAATGTACTGAGATTCGAACCCAGTGCTTTACACATGCTAGGCAAGTGTTCTACCATTGAGCCACAATCCCAGTCCCTTATATATTATTATTTTTTAAATGTTGTTTTAGTTGTAGGTGGACACAATTCACAATACCTTTATTTATTTATTTATTTTTTAATATGGTGCTGAGGATCAAACCCAGTCCCTCCCATATGCTAGGCAAGTGTTCTACCACTGAGCCACAACCCCAGCCCC